ACAATCCGATCCTTTAACATGGTTTCCGTTACTTTCCCCACTACTGAAGTAAGGCTTACTGGCCTACGGTTGCCCGACTCCTCCCTACTACCTTTCTTGTGAATAGGCACAACATTCGCTCACTTCCAATCTTCTGGGACTACTCCAGTTAACAATAATTGGTTAAAAAAATCTGTTAATGGTTTTGCTAGTACACCACTAAGCTCTTTTAATAACTTTGGGTGTATTCCATCAGGTCCCATTGACTTATTTGTCTTTACTTTTGACGGTTGAAATAGAACCTCTTCCTCTGTAAACTCATATGTAACAAATTACTCATTTGTCCTTTTTCCTAATTTAGGCCCCTTTCCTTCATTTTCATCTGTAAATACCAAACAAAAATAATAATTGAGGCAGCCAGCTAGACCTTTATCCTCTTCTGCATATCTTCCTTCTTTTGTTTTTAATCTAACTAATCTTTGTTTTACGTTCCTTTTCTCATTTATGTATCTAAAAAATGTTTTATCCCCCTTTTTTACTGACTGTGCTATTTTCTCTTCTGTGTGTGATTTGGAAGCTCTTCTACCTTGCTTAGCCTCTTTCTGCCTAATCTTATAGATCATTCTATCTTCCTCACTCTGGGTTTTTTATAATAATTAAATGCTAACTTTTTGTTTTTTACTATTTTGCCCACATCTGCTGAGTACCACAGTGGTTTCTTGAATTTTTTTGCTTTTACTGACAAGCCTAATGCAATTTTCTGTTGCCTTCAGCAGTGCAACTTTTAAATAATACCATATTATTGCTTTTTTCATTTTTTTTATAGTTAGATTGGGTCATTACAGTTTGTATTTGTCATGTTCAAGCAACACATCAATGGACATACCAAACTATCAATTAGTACATCTACTACTTATTAGAGAGAGGGGTTAGGTGAGATCATTTCATTTTTGGGGTGTGGGGGATGGTGGATTTAGACTTGGGGAGCCATTGTCACAGAGAGGGAGAGGGGTTTTGTTTAAATATTGCCCTAGTTCTGGGTAAGGCAGGAAAAGGTCCATGTGACTGAGCATCTATGCATTTGTCTATTTGTATGTATGTATATATATATATATATATATATATATATATATGTATGTATGTATGTGTGCATGTATGTATGGAACCTAAAAACATACACAAATACATTTCCAAAAGAAATGGCTCATAGTTTGCTTGTTACTATATTTACAATGCGCTTATAATTTAACAACTAAAGGTAAAAAAGTTTTAAAAAATTTGTGATAATTTCACATTTTCTTAGTTTCTATTGAGCGACGTATGCCAAAGTATAAAATTAGTCTCTAAAAATGGAAACACATTTCTCTGCACTTCACAACATAATTGAGCAGCGTTCCTGTACATTCAGCATGACAATTCCTGAGCAAGGCTACCTAAAGATTATGAGTACAGTTTGTGAACTGAGTCTTTGATTCCCACTACTTTCACAAGGTAATGAACCCATTGTTGCTAGGCAGTTCATCCTTATATGGTACTGTATCTGTCACTGTTATGCTTTCTTACCTGAGTATTTAGCTTAACATTAGTAAGAGAAAGTACCTAACTTTGTAACTCTTTCACTACCAGTACAACAGCTCTTACCAAGTCTCCAATTTCTTCTCTAGTCACATGACTATAGTGTTACCCCCATTACACAAGTGAAAACGAACAGAGCTTTGTCTCATTGTCCAAAAAAAAAAAAAAAAAAAAGGTGTTGCAGACAATGCAGACAATGCAATGGTTTAAATGGCACCTAAACCAGTTGATACATGTAGCTTATCACAGGACATCACCAATCTGAAAGTAAGACAAAGGGGGTGTGTTTTTTTCCTCACATATATACATTTTTGGGAAGACATCTGTTTAACATCTAAAGATATGTCCTCATTGTTGAGTTTAAGCTGGTCTCTATTCTCCACTGAATCTGCAGTTCCACGCATAAGATGCATCCATATAGACATCTGTTGTTATGGCTTCTGGTGGCAAAAGTGAGTCTGAATACGTGAAATATTTTGTCTCTGTACTGTATATTCCTGAGTTTATCACATGGCATAGTAATTTCAAGGCTGATGTATCTGTTCCCTTCAGACATTCTGTTACATCAATTTGTCTCTATATGGGCAAACTTTGAAAGCCACTGATCCCTTTAATTGTAACTCTTCACTCCTCGATTTGTCTGTATCTCAATTTTTATTCTTCAGTATTTTTACCTTTTTAGATATATATTTTTTCTGTAGTCTTTAAAGGTTTTTTATTGGTCAGATTTTTATTTAATTTTTTTTCTTGTGTAGCACTTTAAATTGCTTGTTGCACTTTGATTTTCTGCAGTTTGCAACTTTTGCACTTTATTACAGGGTTAGTGGTCATTTGAAATGGACACGCTGTTCTTCTGTGTATGAGTCTAAATGGGCACTATGGCGTGGTTAAATTGTGACGTAAGATGCAATAAAACTATGACCAAATACTAATTGTATTTTTCACTTTCCCTAAATGTACAGGTTTTGCATTTAGAACCTAATTCTCATTATTTTTTTATTATTTATCCTTCTGTATTGATTTGTGCATATAAGGAAAATGTATTGTTTCTGCCGTTTTTATGATGTAAACTAATATACATACAGCGGTTGTCTTTTATGTATCTTTTGGTTATATGTATGGACTTGTGTGGACTCGCTATGTGTGAACCGCATTATGCAAATTAGGTCTGCCGCGCTCACCCAATAGTTTGTGAGCGAGTTGCTTCTTAAACGGAATTCCCATGACGAGATGACATCACCGCTTGACGTCCTGATGAAGCCATTTACGGCGAAATGCCTAAACGCGGTGACAACTACGGAAATGACGCTTGTCATAGTGGGCAGAGTTTGAACACCAGCGAATCTCAATAGCACTGGGACGCTCGGATCACAGACTCGGTTTACACAGGACTTTACATCAATCCGTGGAGGACTCCTGGTGTATCTACCGGCTGCATCCTATACAGAGCGTTCCTTGAGAACCACAAGCGTTTTGTGAGTAGCAGTTGGCACTGCAAAAGCTCACTATCATATTCTTGTAAGAGGCTAATTGTAACCTTTTTATTAATGTACTGTTTTGTGTCTACTGTTACTTAGTTTTAAGTACAGATAGGAGTGTTATTTGTCTAGAATTTGTCAAAATAAACATAATCTTTACTTGTGAAAATCATACTCCACTATGATTTGCTCTTTTTATTTTTTCTATGTGATTCTTGGCTGAAATAACCTTTAAGATTCTCTGGGTGTTACCGAAGTCATTAGCGCTCCACCTTTATAAGTATATTTCTGTATTTTTTGTATATGTGTGTTTGGGTTCACACAGGTGATTAACAGCTTTAGTGTTCACTTGATTCTATTTTTACAGTACTTGTTCTAGGTGGTGGTGGTGTTTTTTTTTTTACCAAATTCTCCCCCCCCCCCATTATCTTCTTAGCGCTTTTATATCTATTTCTTCTTTTTTTGATGTATGTACTAGGCAGTATAAGTGTATGGATTTATATTAGACAGTATGTGTGTATGGATATATGAATTGGGCACTAGGCACTATGTGTGTATGGATTTACGTATTGGGCAGTGGATGTATGTGTTGGGAAGTCTGTGTGGATTTATGTATTAGGCTGTGTGCGTATGGTTGATTGTATGTAATAGGCAGTATGGATGGATGCATGTATTAGGCAGTGTGTGTATATGGATTCATATACTGGATGAGTTTGTCTGTATTGGGCATTGTGTCTCTTTCTTTCCCTACATGTCTGTTCACTGTGTCTCTCTCCTAAAACGTCTCCCAGTCTCCGTTTTCTAAATACCTCAAAAGTCTCTCTATCCTTTCTCTAAATGTCTCCCAGACTGTTTCCGTTCTTTACATTTCTTACAGGTGCTTCTGCTTTCACTTAAGCAGGGAGTGGCTAAATGGATTGTTGTCTAGGGCGGCAAGAATCCTTGCACCGGCCCTGTTGCTGTCTAATTTCAATCAGAGAAAAATAATGACATTTGTATTGCCTGTAATTTTGCAATACTGGGCCTGGCCAGGCAGCCTCAAATACTGGATGTGCCAGTAAAATACTGGCCAGGTGGCAACCCTAGGTCACAAAAGCTTAACTAATTTTACCTCAAAATGATTGAATGAAATATGTAAAAATGATCTTAGTGACATAGACTGTGGGATGTACTTTCTACAAATAATTATGTTTGTGTAGCGGTTTTGGATTGTGTGATTACTATCAAAGTTGCATTCTCAGTTTGTCAAATTTTTACAAACTTTTAGCTTTAAAACCGTCATTCACTCCTTGCAGTATTTGTATTAGAAATTCCAAAAAATAATTTAGATGTTAGACATACTGGGCAGTTTAACCAGCTGAACTAATTAGTAAATCTCAAATGGGTCAGTGTAAACACCTTCCCACTATTGGTAAGAGTGTAGCGCTAATAGGTGTGTATTCACAGTGCTCAAGAATATAAATGTACACTTACCACTCAGGGTAGTATCAAAGAAGTAGACATATAAAGAGAAAAACACAGAGAACATACATAGGGTAATAACGTAGAGCCTGTATTGAAGTGAATATAGATATATACAGGTAGACTCACATTTATTAGAGCCTTTTATATGGATATAGGCTCTAAACACTTAAGTATCCGTGCCTTTAAGGTAGGCAGCGAGACCGTATAAATTCTGCTTGCTTTTTTTCTCTCTTTGCTTTTTTTTCCTCCTTTCTTTCCCTCCTTTCAATCAAGGTGAAGACTCCAAGAGAAGAGAAAAAACAAAAACAGACTTCTGGGTGCAGATTGTTTAACTCTTAGCATGCAGTACAATATCTCTTTAAGGTGAAAAAGGAAAAAATGCTCACCTTTTTAAGAGCCTTTTAGTAACTGGCTCTAAGTATAAATAGCATATGTGTCTAATATAAAGGGTGACACTACCCTTAACCGGATCCAGAAATTCAAGGTAGAGGTAAGTATAATTTCCCAGAAGTCTCTTCTCTGTAGTTCTGGCGACGTTAAAAGTTCAGAGCTCACTCCACCTCAGCGGGTGTGAGATCGCTCATGAAGAAACAGGGGTGTATTTATGGGGATAGGAAGAGGGAAAAAAACATCATTTTACAGACTGGGATATATTAGTCTTATATATACATTAATTATAATTCTGTAAACTGTAATCCAAAATAGGAGACATTAATAATGTTATTTTAAATGTACTGTTATTTAATAATAGCTTTAATAAGTGCATATCTATTTCCTAACATAGTATATTCAGATGTAAGAGATAGACGCATATATACACAAAAATATAATGTATGTGATAAAACTAGTTTTTTATACAGAAATATAATGTATATAAAGAAACTAGTTTTTTATATTTTACTTTTCTTTTTGTTCTTTATATTAGATAATTAAAAATATATAATAAAAAACATATAAAAAACATATACATATTTATAATAAAAATCTTCTCTCTTTTTATAAAAAATGGTATAACTCAAAATCGGCATTTAGGCCAAATGGAGTAAGAGTATTGAGATTGAAGATCCATTTCATCTCCGTTTTTCCCAATATTTTGATTTCATCATCTCCTCTCCAGCTTAAAATAACCCTTTGGATAGCAAAAAATTCTAACATACTTGGATCACTATTATGTACTGTTTTAAAGTGCAGAGATACATAATGCTTCTCATAGCCTTTCCTGATGTTTCTAACATGCTCATTTATTCTTACGTGGAGGGGACGCTTGGTTCTCCCCACATAGTATAATTGACATGGACACTTGAGAACATAAATTACCTTCTTTGAAAAACATGTTATCATTTGTTTAATTTTATATTCTTTTTTGTTTTGAGGATCTATAAATGACGTAACATGCCTTTTGTTACTGTTAGTACTCCTGCAAGCCAGACATTGGCCACATCCAAAAAACCCAGATTTTTGGAAGAACGGATTAGATTTTTCCTCTTTTATGTAATTATGAGTTAATATTTGTTTTAAATTGGGTGCTCCCCTATATATAATCTGTGGTTTTTCTGTCAGTATATTATATAATAGAGGGTCACTTCTTAGAATTGGCCAGTGTCTGTTAATTATTTTTCTTATTCTTTTCTCTTCTTGATTATAATTACAAATAAAGGGTACTCCTTCACTATCTTTTTCTTTTTTCTGTTTATATTTTAAGAGAGATTCTCTGTCCAGAATTTTTATTTCATTTAAAGTGCTTGATAATATTTTATTGTCGTAACCCTTTTCCAAAAATTGGTTTTTAACCCTATGGGCTTGTTCTTGAAAACTGCTAACATCAGTGCAATTTCTGCGTATACGCATGAATTGAGACCTTGGAATGTTCTTCAGCCACGGTGAGAAATGGCAACTATTTAGATGTATATAGTTGTTGACATCTACACTTTTAAAATAGGTCTTGGTTTTAATACATTCATTTTCCACATAGATGGTCAGATCCAAGAAATTAACTTGTAATAGGCTGTAGTCAGTAGTAAGTACTATTCCCCATTGATTGTCATTCAGAAAACAGAGGAAGTCTTTCAGGTCATCCTCCGTCCCCCTCCAAATAAAAAATATATCGTCAATGTACCGCTTATAGGTAACAAGGTTCGCACTCCAACTGGCATTGGAAAAAATGAAACTGTGTTCCCAAAATGCCATAAAAAGATTTGCATAGCTGGGTGCGAACCTTGTTCCCATAGCGGTACCGCACTTCTGTAAGTAGAAGTCATTTTGAAACCAGAAGTAATTGTTCCGGAGAATCAAATCAATCCCTTGTAATATAAATGCTATCTGTTCCTCTGGGTAAACTTGGGCTTGTTTCAAAAAGAAATCCACGGCCTCCATACCTTTCTCATGTGAGATGATGGTATATAATGATCCTACGTCTGCCGTGACTAAGATGAAATGAGATTCCCATTGTATTTCTTTCAAAATCTGAATAACATTTAGGGTATCCTTCAGATAGCTAGATGTACTCTGAACTGTCGGTTGAAGACAATGATCCAGGTATTCCGATAGTCTACTAGAGATTGAATCTATCCCCGAGACTATCGGCCTGCCTGGAGGGTTGTTGAGGTCCTTATGTATTTTAGGGAGGTGGTATAGTACTGGAATTCTAGGCTTTTTAATATTTAAATATTTATATTCATTATCATTTAAAATCTCCATTTCCTTTCCCTGTGTAAATAATTCTTCTAGAAACATCAGGAAAGGCTATGAGAAGCATTATGTATCTCTGCACTTTAAAACAGTACATAATAGTGATCCAAGTATGTTAGAATTTTTTGCTATCCAAAGGGTTATTTTAAGCTGGAGAGGAGATGATGAAATCAAAATATTGGGAAAAACGGAGATGAAATGGATCTTCAATCTCAATACTCTTACTCCATTTGGCCTAAATGCCGATTTTGAGTTATACCATTTTTTATAAAAAGAGAGAAGATTTTTATTATAAATATGTATATGTTTTTTATATGTTTTTTATTATATATTTTTAATTATCTAATATAAAGAACAAAAAGAAAAGTAAAATATAAAAAACTAGTTTCTTTATATACATTATATTTCTGTATAAAAAACTAGTTTTATCACATACATTATATTTTTGTGTATATATGCGTCTATCTCTTTAAGATTGACAAAATATTAAAATACATCCGAATATACTATGTTAGGAAATAGATATGCACTTATTAAAGCTATTATTAAATAACAGTACATTTAAACTAACATTATTAATGTCTCCTATTTTGGATTACAGTTTACAGAATTATAATTAATGTATATATAAGATTAATATATCCCAGTCTGTAAAATGATGTTTTTTTCCCTCTTCCTATCCCCATAAATACACCCCTGTTTCTTCATGAGCGATCTCACACCCGCTGAGGTGGAGTGAGCTCTGAACTTTTAACGTCGCCAGAACTACAGAGAAGAGACTTCTGGGAAATGTAGTTCTGGACGGCGAACCGGAAATGACGTTACGGCAATTAGAAGCCGCAACTAGGATCATTTGATATCGGATGAACGATTGGACGCAGAGAGGAAGGGCGGGAGAAACAACTTCTTTTAAAACCGGAAAACAGGACATCAACAGAATACCAATTGAGAAAGCCAACGGAGAAGGCGAAACGCGTCTTGGTAGATCAGGAGAGGAAGGACTTCGGCACATATTGTATTTATTTATACTTTTTTATTATTATTCGATATTTTAACTTTATTTTATATAATAAATTTTGTGTTTGAATATACTTACCTCTACCTTGAATTTCTGGATCCGGTTAAGGGTAGTGTCACCCTTTATATTAGACACATATGCTATTTATACTTAGAGCCAGTTACTAAAAGGCTCTTAAAAAGGTGAGCATTTTTTCCTTTTTCACCTTAAAGAGATATTGTACTGCATGCTAAGAGTTAAACAATCTGCACCCAGAAGTCTGTTTTGTTTTTTCTCTTCTCTTGGAGTCTTCACCTTGATTGAAAGGAGGGAAAGAAAGGAGAAAAAAAGCAAAGAGAGAAAAAAAGCAAGCAGAATTTATACGGTCTCGCTGCCTACCTTAAAGGCACGGATACTTAAGTGTTTAGAGCCTATATCCATATAAAAGGCTCTAATAAATGTGAGTTTACCTGTATATATCTATACTCACTTCAATACAGGCTCTACGTTATTACCCTATGTATGCTTTCTGTGTTTTTCTCTTTATATGTCTACTTCTTTGATACTACCCTGAGTGGTAAGTGTACATTTATATTCTTGAGCACTGTGAATACACACCTATTAGCGCTACACTCTTACCAATAGTGGGAAGGTGTTTACACTGACCCATTTGAGGTTTTTTTGTTTGTTTTTTGCATGTGGAGAGTGGTTTTTGGAGTACCCTCATGAGTGTTTTATAGCAGCTTTTTGATATTGTTCTATATTATATTTATAAGCGCCACCTATTCCCACACCTTTCTCTGTGTTGTTTCCATAATTAGTAAATCTACTTGGAGTCTGTTTTCTTTATACGCAGGTGTGTGAAAATGATTAAATGTAAAACTGAGGGAAAAAATATATATGTATTTTTAAAGGTTTTAATATTTCTTTTTTATATATCTCTTTATTAAAGTTTTTCATATAACACACAAGAAAATAATAATAATAATAAATAAATATATAATTAAATGAAATTATATAATTGAATACATAAATAAATTAATTAATAAAAACATACAAAAGTTTAACATTCCTTCCCTTCAATACACCCTAGTTATTATAATACTGGTGTTGTAGTAATTGTAATTTTGTAGAGAATGGAACAAATAAAAAAACAATGTATTAAAGGACCACTCTAGGCACCCAGACCACTTCAGCTTAATGAAGTGGTCTGGGTGCCAGGTCCAGCTAGGGTTAACCCATTTTTTCATAATTATAGCAGTTTCAGAGAAACTGCTATAATTATGAATGGATTAAGCCTTCCCCCTAATCCTCTAGTGGCTGTCTCATTGACAGCCACTAGAGGCGCTTGCGTGCTTCTCACTGTGATTTTCACAGTGAGAGCACGCAAGCGTCCATAGGAAAGCATTGCAAATGCTTTCCTATGCGACGGGCTGAATGCGCGCGCAGCTCTTGCTGCGCGTGCGCATTCAGCCGGCGGGGCGGATCGGAGGAGGAGAGGAAGCAGAGAGCTCTCCGCCCAGCGCTGGAAAAAGGTAAGTTTTTACCCCTTTCCCCTTTCCAGAGCCGGGAGGGGGTCCCTGAGGGTGGGGGCACCCTCAGGGCACTATAGTGCGAGTATGTTTTCCTGGCACTATAGTGGTCCTTTAAGTAGATAAATAAAACTAACAAAATTACAATCAAAATCATACATACCATCACACACCACTTGATTTATTATCTCTGGTGGTCTGGGAAGCACTGACTTTCAGCCTTTGCTGATTTTGGAGACTTCTGGAGTATTAAATGTTTTCTATTTGGTTCTCGTAGGGAAATTAGATATCAAATTTAATTTGATATCTCCAGCCATTTTGACCAGATCTTGGACGACTTGTCTCTGTTATAAAAATATTTTTCAGAGGATGCCTGGAATTTAATTTGTGATTTAAACTCAGGCCATAGTGGAACTGTCTGTGTTCTCCAGTATCTAGCTAGGCATATCTTAAATACCAAAAGTATATTTATTATAAGAAGTTTGGTATATTTATCTGAGGCTGGAAAGTCTACATGGAAAAGAAAAGTCTGAGGCGTTAATAAATAGGGATAGTCCAATATATCTGTAATAATTTCTGATGTTTTATTTTTGTGTAGGTCTAGATATGATTACTCCCCAAAATGTGGCATTGTGTTCCCTTCTTTTCTTCACATCTCCAGCATATATCATGGAGTTTGTTTGAAATTTAGCTATACGAGTGGGAACTAGATACCATCTGTGGGACAGCTTATAAAATTGTTCCTAGAGACTAATACAATGAACTGGTTTGCTAGTCATATTCCAGGCTTGGCACTAGGTCTGGGTTAAAAATGATAACTTTCAATCTATTTCCCATTTTTGGAAAGCTTTAGGCTTATCCATGGTTTTTGAGTTAACAAGAATATTTGAAATTTTTGCAACATTTTTTGTAGAAGGTATATCAAGGTTATCATCCCATATATTCGGGTTGGATATAGGATTTTCTGTGAAAAAATGCTTGACCCTAATGTAATTAAATGGTTCTCCATTAGGTAAATTGTAGACTCTCACAATATCGAGAAATAGCATTATTTGATCTAGATTAAAAAAATCCCCCATTCTATTAATCCCTACTGATTTCCATACTGTTAAATTTAAATCTGTAATATAAAGGGATACAAGATTGATAGAAATATGCTTAGAGAGGATGTTGGTACAATTATATCTCTTTCTAATTTTATATATTGATGTCATAATATTCTTTATTAAATCACTTTTAATTTGCGTTTTTTTTTTTTTAAAGGGGGGACCAGCATAAAAAATATGGTTCACAGATTCCAGTTTTGTATTCTTCAATACTATACTTAAGATTAGACTCCCTTCTTCTCTTCCAGGCTAACATATGGAAAAGTTGGAATGAGTCGTAATAACGATATATATCTGGATAACCCAAACCACCCTATGATGTACTTCTCTTAAGGACCGTACTTGGAATCCTTGGTTTTTTAGATGCCCATACAAATTTAGAAAATATCAGTTAAAAATTTTTCAAAATAGAATTTGAAATTTGATATGGTATAACTCTAAATAGATAGAGTAATTTTGGGAGTACATAGGATATTAAGACTCCCAGGCGCCCCAGCCTTGAGTTTCTAATCTCCTCCATTGTGAAAGGGATATATTTAGTTTTCCATGTAGGGTTTCATAATTAATTATAATGGTTTCCGATGTTTTTGATCTAATCTTGATACCTATATACTCTATAGATTTTTGGTGCATGTCAAATTGACTAATATTGTCAATATCTACCCTTTGATCATTGGTCATATAGAATGTCAATATTTGAGTTTTAGAAACTAGACATAAGAAAGAGAGCTCAAAGATCCATGTTTAGGGCATATGGGACAAGGGATCAACCCTTAGTGGAATTACAATTGAAGACAAAAAAATAATAATCCTTCTTCACCCATGGAGGGCTCTGCGCAGACTGAGCTCTGCAGGGCGGGGGAAAGCTTATAAAGCCTTGACCCGCCATGCAATTAGGCTAAGAACATTCTGATTGGTTGGTTTAAGTCATTTTACACAGCTTGGGTATATTCCAAAGAACTTTCCCACGCTGTGTAAAATGACATAGAGCACTCTGATTGGGTGGCTTGAAATCCATCCAATCACAGTACTCTGTGTCATTTTACACAGCGTTGGAAAGTTCTTTGGAATTTTCCCACGCTGTGTAAAATGACAAAGAGCACTCTGATTGGGTGGTTAGATTCCAAGCCCACCAATCAGAGTGTTATGAGTCAAATTACACAGCGTGGGAAAATTCCAAAGAACTTTCCTACGCTGTGTAAAATGACACAGAACACTCTGATTGGTTGGCTTGAAATCCATCCAATCACAGTGCTCTGTGTCAAAGTTCTTTGGAATTTTCCCATGCTGTGTAAAATGACAAAGAGCACTCTGATTGATTAGATTCCAAGCCCACCAATCTGAGTGTTATTCCAAAGAACTTTCCAAAGAACTTTCCCAGACTGTGTAAAATGACACAGAGCACGCTGATTGGCTTAAACCAACCAATCAGAGTGGTTTTAACCTAATTGCAGGGCAGGGCAAGGCTGCTCACTGCTTACTAGACATGCCCCTACTCGCGGTATAGCGAGTAGGGGCAGATTATTTACTAATACTAAGTAATCTTTACTTAGTATTAGTAAATGTGGCACGAATCTAACACGAATGTAGAAACTGTTAGAATGCAATTCGGCAGTTTTGCCGGCATCCTGTCTAAGTGACAGGACGTTCGGCAATACTGACAGGAGGCATCGTGGGAACAGGGAGGAAAGCTAAGGATCATGGAAAAATTGCTGTGACTACCGGAAACGAAGCACACTTTGTTCCTCCCATGGTTACTGCTGGTCACTGTGTAGGAAACCTCCATAAGAGAACTAGTCCCTACTTTTTCTTAAGTTTTAAAGAAAACTAGAGCAGACAGGAAGAAATGAAGAACAGATCCTGAGAGAGGGAGAGAAGAAGAATTGATTGGGGAAAGGTAAGTTCAAAGTGACAGTACCGCTTTAATAAGTGAGATGCTTTCCTGTGGCTTCGAGGGCACCTTATCTTATCATGATTCTGTCTAACTGAAACTCCTGACAGGTACAAAAAATTATTATGTAGACGGCTAAGTACTCCTTCAAATTAGAAAATAATAATCACAAGGTATAAAGAGGTCCGGATCCTTATTTTACAAGGAAAAAAAATCAGCCGCTAGAAGTACTTGCCTAGCCCCAACGTACGTTTTGCCAGGCAGGCCCCTCAGGGGGAAATTAGCTTGATCCCTGAATCGTCTTAATATAGGGTAAGGAAGGACACGCCCGATGTAAGTTAAATCCAATCAGTCTGCCCCATTAGTGATTAATATGGTGATTAGCCAATGCGATGTCAGAAGTGCCATAATAAAGTTAACCTGGAGATACCATCGGTATTAACATAAGGCATCCCAGG